TAAAAAGCATTTTCAGCAAATATTTGTTTTGTTCATAAAATGTTTATTGCTTCTATTTGTCAACTAATGAATCAGAAGTATTGGACTGCTTGCAGCTTTCTTCCATTATGGTCTTAGATGTGAATCAGAGGTTGTTATCCTACTGAGGAGTTTCACCCCCTCCTCTACCCTGACCTTTAAAGACTGTCCTTCTTTTTTAGGCTGATGTGGTTATCAAGTTCCCTGAGGAAGAGGCACCCTCGACTGTCTTGTCCCAGAACCTTTTTACTCCGAAACAGGAAATTCAGGTATATCCCAAGGGCTTATCTACTAAACATGAAAAGAAATGGGCACAAGAAGAGAGGGCAGCAAGCTCCTGGGCTGTGGCTCTGGTTCCTTCCTTAACTCATTTATCTGATATTTTATAATTTAATCCTCACTACCTTCTCAGTCAACAAACAGGTTCACAGAGTCAATGACTAGCTTCCAGAAAGCAGAGGTTTATAGTGGAAATCAGAACCCAAGTCTTTTTTCTCATACCTGGGAGGTGTGGCTCTCAGACCACTGCTCGACAGCTGCGTGCAGGTGGCTTTAGCCATTATCCTCCCTGTTCCTGCATGAATCAGGGCTGGTGGGGCAACAGAAGAGAAAAAATAAGTAAAACCAAGAAATGTCAGACAATTTACTCCATTTCACTATAAAAAAAGGACAAGGGCCCACAGGGTAAAGCAGTAGGATTCTTTTAAAAATGCCTCCTAATGTTAATAGAGGTTATTTAAGAATGTAAAAGGAAGTAGTAGACAGTATCCTCGTGGTGATGAAGGGTGCTGACATTGTAGGGTAAGGCAGAGAAGATCAGACGTGAACATGTGGGAGCAGGAAGCGTGAGTGGGACTGCCTCGGCATGGAGCTGGGTTGGCTTGGGATTGTCAAGCAGAAAAGACAACCATGGGTCAATACATTGGAGGAAAATTTTTTTAACAAAAGTTTGATTTGGGCTGGGCTTGGTGGCTCAGCCTGTAATCCCAGCACTTTGGGAGGCCAAGGTGAGTAGATTGCCTGAGTCCAGGGATTTGAGACCAGCCCTGGCAACTTGGCGAGACAATAATTAAAAAACTCATCTCTACAATAAATAAAAAAATTAGCCAGGTGTGGTCGTGCATGCCTGTACTTCCAGCTGCTTGGAAGGCTGAGACAGAAGGATCGCTAGAGCCCAGCTGGTCGATGCTGGGGTAGCTGTGAGTGTGCCACTGCATTCCAACCTGAGCGACGGAGTGAGACTCTAACTCAAAAAAAAAAAGTTTGAATTGCATAAGTGTGTTGCAGCTTACAAAGCATAATCAAATGCCCTATTTCTTGTGGTCCTTAGAATACCTTTACAAGCCTAGTAGAGTAGTCAGTGCCCTTCCACCTCCAGTTTTCCAGCTGGAAACTGAGATGAAGAGTGAGGAAAGCAGCTTGCTCCTGGTCACAGTTACATATGTCATTTTGGGCCTCAATAAAGGTCTCTGGACTCCTACACCATAACTGCTTCTGCTAGGTCACACTGTCTAAATTCTAAAGTGAATTCATGTTGAATTGCTCAGGAGAAAAAACAAGTAATACCAAGAAATATCAGGAATGCTTGCCCAGCCTTCTGGCTTAACTCTGGAAATCAGACAGAGACAGAGCGAGTAAGGGAGAAGATTTGTTTAGTGCTTCCTAGAGACGTGGCTGGGGGAGGAGGTGAGTTATGATGAGGCATAACTTCAGTGAGGCTCTATTAAATTTTGAAAAGGGATGATGTTACCACCAGTTAGCTAACTTAAGTTGGGTAGCATATGCCGGTGCAACCCTAGGAACCCAGAAGCATTATGAAGTCCAGCGTCCTGCCTCAGGTATGCCACCCAAGCTATCTATATACGTGGGCATTCTCTTTGACATGAGCCAAATGCCACATGATGGGTTGCATTCTCCAGCCTCTGAATGGCAGTGAGTCTTTAAGAGGAAAATAGGGTTGGCCAGGCAGTGAGCTGGGACTGATGTAGCGTTTGGAAGGGAGACCTCTGGGATCAGAAGCCAACATTGAGAAGAGGTAAAGAGCCAGGTGGTTACTTGTTACCAAGAGGTTTTAGCCTCTGGGTGGCATTTCCTTTTTGTGACTGTCATTGATGTTTTGGTCCCTGGTATATACAGCAGCCCTGCTGGGAGGGCAAGTTCTGAAGTCTTGGTGTATCTTCTGTTGGTAGCACCTGTTCCGTGAGCCGGAGAAGAGGCCCCCGACTGTGGTGTCCAACACATTCACTGCCCTGATCCTCTCGCCCTTGCTCCTGCTCTTTGCTCTGGTGAGTGGCTGTTCTTAGTATGGGTGGTGTGTGTCCAGCGTTAGGCTCAGCGGATGCAGCCCTTCCAAAGTAGGCTCTATGCTTGGGCCTCAGCATAGCTTCACAGGGCCCAGCTGCTGTGACCCGAGTGGATGGGCAAGCCATTTTAGAATAGCCAAAAGCCCCCACTATGGAGGAGCAGCCAGAAAACTGACCCATTAACAAGGGGGCACGGGGAAAGGACCTGACAGCCACTTAAAGAGACAATGGTGAACAGACTGTGATGCTCCTAGGAGTATCCAGATGGGATCAGGTGTGAACAGAGCAAGGCCCAGCACTAACAGCTGTAAAAATGCAGTGCAGAGGGTGTGCATTTCGGCATTGCTTAGAGCATAAGGCTGGAAACAGCCTAAAGCCCATACAGTGCAGTAATATGTAGTTGTTCAACAAGTGGATGGATTTATATGCTGATGGAGCAAGAGTGCTGAGATGTGTTAATGTTAGTCACCTCTGAGGAGAGGACATTCTGGAGAGCTGGAGAGTGTAGAGAAAGTGAATTTTTACCTTTTCTACTTTTCTGTATGGTCTGACTTTTTAAAAAACCAATTAATTGTCTTTCTCTTTCAAAATTATAAACAGAGATGCATATCTTCAAAGGTCAGAGAATTTTGCGAAAACTCATTAGATCTGACATCTGGAAAGTTGCCTGCATTCCTAATTAATTCGTTGATTCTAATAAAAGAATTATTGGTTAATCTAAATCTAGAAGTCATGCCACAAGCTTTCAGAAACCAGACCCTGGGGTATGGGACCTGTTCTTATATTTGGGTGATGAGAATTACAGAAGCATGGAACCCATAGCAAGAGCTTGCTTCCTGCCAACTGCCAGCAGGTTGATCTTACCAATTCTTAGAGAACTTAGTAGGGGTGTCAGTTACTTCATCATAAATGTAGTTTCTGACCTTCCAGTGTCATGGTTTCACCTGTTTTAAAATAGAAATGTTTCCTATCATTAAAAATGATGTTCTAGTTTGAGTTACCCAAGCCTATTTGAGAGCAGATGTTGGGATGTTGTTCTTTTAAAAGAAAGAAAAAGAAAAAAAACAATTTCTCCTGAGAGCTTCTAATAAGGTGTTGTCACTTGGAATAATTCCCTGTCCTTCCAGTATGCATGAATTTCCAAGCTCCTGGGGCTGTTGATTGGATTAGTATTCACGTGGCACGTGTTGCTTTCCTCTTACATTCTGATGTCTTTTTAATTTATCTATCCCCATCTTTCAGTGGATCCGGATTGGTGCCAATATCTCCAACTTCACTTTTGCTCCTAGCACGATTATATTTCACCTGGGACATGCTGGTAAGTGCCCCTGGCTGCTAATTCCATTTAACCTCCTCTGACATTTAGCCTGCCCATGCAAAAGCCCTGTTAAGTAGACACACAACCTATTAACTGTAATGACTTAATAGCATAACATTTCCCTCTTCCTCCTGGCCTTTTAGGATAGTTAATATGATGATAAACCTGTTTGGTCCATCAGCTTGGAACAGCTGTCATTATACTGGGCTTCATTGTACCAGGTTGCTGTTGGCAGGCCATTTACCCTCACTTAATAGCCCTGCTCATTTCCAGAGATTACTCCCTTATTGTATCTTTACATTGAGCCGTCTTCCTGGATGAAGAGCACTAATGCAGTTTCCAAAGGTTATCTTTCCCCACCATATCGATCTTCACATTTGCTGGTGGCTTCGTCTGGGCAGTAATAGACAACAGTCCCTTCCACTGTCAGATGTGCTGTCCTGCATTGCTTTCGTGAAAATTGGGGACCTCAGCAGCGTGAACATAATGAGACAGTAAATTCGCACATCAGTTAAGCATCTCCTGGACCTTTTACACTGCTGGATTAGTGGCGCCTCTCATTTCACTGAGATCTTAGCGTTTTCAAGTTTCTTTGCCTCTGTTAGCAGTCACTAATTGTGTGCCCATGGTGTAAGGATTCTGGAGGGGTGCATGAATGGATCCCCAAAATTCTTGGCAAATGAGTGTATTTTGTTAGAGAAAGAGGATCTTGTGACTTGAATCAGCTTAGCACAGTGGTCCATGGTCTCAACAATGATTAAGAGCCCCCACTGTAGTTCATCCACCATCCCCCTGAGCAGAATTGGCAGGATGGCCTTTCTCTCCTGTTCAGTTACTAGATTGGAGTGATAGTCCTCCAGGGTAAGACTGAGAACAGAACTTGAGTATAAATTTGTTTAGAACCATGACTTTTCTTGCCACTGTGCTTTTTGTGTATGTTTCCTTATTTGATTCTCATCACAATCCTGATGGGGGAGGCTGGGGCAGGAATTGTGATCCCTTTTGACAGGTGAGAGAATTGGGGATCAGAGAAGTTAAGTGGCTAGTGAGTGCAGAGCCAGGCCAGAACCCAGAACCTTCAGTGCCCAGCTCAGAGTCCTCTTCACTAAACCTTCTTCCTCCCTCTTGCTTCCTTCCTAGTCACAATGGCAAATTATTCTTAAAAATGTGTTCATAAGAAAGAAGTTATTCTTTTATTTATGTCCTGTGTATTTTTTTTTTTTTTTTTTGAGTTGGAGTCTCACTCTGTCGCCCAGACTGGAGTGCAGTGGCCACTCCCGGCCACCGCAGCCTCGACCTGCTGGGCTCTGGCGATTCTTCCACCTCAGCCTTCCAAGTAGCCGGAATTACAGGCGCGCGCTACCACGCCCAGCTGATTTTTTGATTTATTGTAGAGATGAGGTCTCGCTGCCCAGGCGGGTCTCGAACCCACGGGCTCAGGCAATCCACTCACCTCAGCCTCCCAAAGGCGCGGGATTACAGGCTGAGCCACCGAGCCCGGCTTCCTGTGTATTTTTGCTAAGAATGAAAAATACAAAGAGAGAGAGAAAAACAAAAACAAACTCCCCAAAAATGTGAGTGAAGAAATGAATCCCAAATATAAAATGACTGTGAAGTTTTAAACAAAACAAAAGCTACATGAAAGAGACAGAGAAATAGGTGGGAGCAAGAACGTGGAGTGAGATGAAGCAGTGAGTCTGATTTTTACCCCTGGGGTTCTTGGTGGCTGCAGCTGAGAAGAAGTATACTGAATTGTCTATTTTTGGGCATCAGATCAAAGGAATAAAATCAGTTGGTCTAGAAATGCCCACCTTCTCATGACACGGCAGTGGCTGCTCCTGCCTCTCCGTGATCCAGGGTGCGGTCACTGTTCACTGACGGCTGTCACAACACCTCTTCTTGCAGCTATGCTGGGACTCATGTACATCTACTGGACTCAGCTCAACATGTTCCAGACTCTGAAGTACCTGGCCATCCTGGGCAGTGTGACGTTTCTGGCTGGCAATCGAATGCTGGCCCAACAGGCAGTCAAGAGGTAATGCTGGGCCTGGGCCAGGGCTAGAAGGGTGTGCA